AAAGTCTTTCAAAAGGTAAGAAAGATTCAACTTAACTTTTGGAGCTCTTAGGGCTCAAAGTGAGCAAAATTAGCAGAAATTCCCAATGTTGATCTTTTCACTCTGGGAGGATGGAGTGCATTGTGAACTGGACCTGTTTCAAGAACATGTTTTGAATACTAGTGCAAAAGATTATGGGAATTCAAATTGCACTGTGTGGACTTTGCACTTAAAATCTTTTGTACTGGTTGAACTGATATTAGGGGAATTACAGTGAAGAAATCAACACAATGGAGCAGCACTTCTGTGGTATGCCTAACTACAGGATTAGTAATCCAGAAACCCAGAATAACGCTCTGGGGAAATGGGATCAAATCTGCTGGAATTTAAAATTGAATTCATGAAAAATATCTTGAATTGAAACCAGTCTCAGTTTCACAGTCACCATTACTATCATCAATTATCATATGTCAAAGGGCTAATGTCCTTTTGGGGAAGAAAGTCTGCTGTCTTTGCCTGGTTTGGTCGACATGTGACTGCAGACCCACAGTAATGTGATTGACTCTTAATTGCTTTCTGAAATGACCCAGCAAGATACTTAGTTCAAGGTGAGCAACAAACCTTGCCAACAATAATCTCGTCCCATCGAAGGATAAATTAAACAAAAACGTCTTCTGCAGGTGAAGGAAACTTGACTTCATAGGTGACAAAGCTCATCAGGCATCTGAATAAAATGGCTAATTCCATCCACTAGCAATATTGGTTATTGTTTTGAAAAAGAAATCTATTTCCTGTGACATTATACACATGGAGTCATAAACAAAATAATCTTCAGGTGAACTGTAGTTCAGTTGCCGTGATAATTGAACTGGAAAAAATAAAAACACAAATTGCTGGAAATGCTCAGGAACTGCAACATCTGTCGAGAGATCTACACAGTTCTGCTCAATGACCTTTCACTAGGAAGATGCTTTTATTTCAGTTTCCCAGCACAGAATTTTAATTTGCAGACTTTTGTTCAATTACGTACTTTAATCCCTTTGTTTAAAGCTATAAATTCAGTCCCTATTTTATTAAAACATTGAAATAATATTATAGTAAATAGTAAGAATGGCTGGCTGCAACTTGAAAAGTAATGGTTTGGGTATAGGCATCTTCCTGCAACCCAAAATGAGTGGTTGGGAAACTCATTACTGAAACTGTGAAGTGTAATTATAGCATGACAAATATAAATATAGTTTCCTTCAATCATGGGATTTTTGAAATTCATTTGGCAGAAAAATGCATCAAAAATGAGACAGCAAGAAGGATTGTTTTGTACAGAGGTAGTATATGGAAATGTAAGATTTTAAATTTACATTAACAGTGATGAGCTTTAATGTGAAAATTAAGATAATTGAACTTTATTTAGATCACATCAAAGACCACAACGTCATGTTCTAGTGATTGTAATGAGGTCAGCCAGGTGGTCCTCATAGAATATGAGTTCCCCAATTGGGGCTGTTAACCTGGTCCAATCAGGGACGCCTGGCTGACTGACACTCCTGTTTATATTTGATGTTCTGGTCGCTCTGAGGAAGCCAGACCAGTGTCAAGTACAATGCACATGTAAATAAAGGGTGACTTGGTGACGGGATGCTGGCCTCTGTGGACCCATTTCACATGTATTATTAGAAAGTTTATAGCTTGCCAATTTGTAAAAAAGTTAAAGTTCTATAAGTGGTTTATTTGTGTGACCTTGTACTGTTATGAATAGTAAGAGAGAGCCTCATGCCAAAATAAAAGGACTTTGTATTTGTGGTTACCTCTTGGATCTATTTATAAAAGATTGCAGTACTTGTCCTACATTGCACATCAACTTTCAGCATTCCTCAAGTATTTTCTGACAGTTACTGCTTAAGCTTGAATGCAGCTGTTGTTTGAAATGTGTTTCCTTTATATTGGCTCACATTGCAGGTTTGGATATAAATTCATAGAGTCTGTTTCCATGCTGTATGACTCTTAGGTCTAACCAGTCAATGCTGACCATAATCCCAAACTAAACTAGTTCCACCTGCCTGCGCTAGGCCCATATCCCTTCAAACATTTCTTATTCATGTACTTATCTAAGTGTCTTTTAAATGTTGTATCTGTACCTGTATCCACCACTTCCTCTGGAAGTTCATTCCACACATAAACCACCCTCTGTGTTCTTAAAAAAAAAAAAGTCGCCCCTTACATCTTTCTTTGAACCTTTCTCTTCTCACCTTAAAAATATGCCCCATGATCTTGAAATCCTCCATCCTAAGGAAGAGACACCTGCCATTCTCCTTATTTATACACCCCATGATTTTATAAACCTCTGTAAGGTCACTCCTCAACCTCCTACGCTGCAATGAAAAAGGTCCCAGCTTATCCAGCCTCTCCTTATAACTCGAACCCTCCATTCCTGGCAACAGCCTGGTAAATGCTCACCAGCTTAATAATATCTTTCCTATAATAACAGAATGACTAGAACTGGATACAATACGCCAGAAGTTTGAAAAACAACCTTCCACCATCACTTTCTGATGAAGGGTCTAGGCCCGAAACGTCAGCCTTTCTGCTCCTATGATGCTGCTTGGCCTGCTGTGTTCATCCAGCTCTGCACCTTGTTGTCCCCTTCCACCATCACTGTCTGTCTCCTGTCATTAAGCCAATTTTGTAACCAACTGGCAAGCTCATCCTGAATCCCATGTGATCTAACTTTATTAATTACTCTATCATGTGGAACCTGGTCAGAGTTTTACTAAAGTCCTAATAAGCAATGTCTATTGCTCCACCCTCATCAATCTTCTTGGTTACTTCCTTAAAAAACTCAAATCAAGTTTGTGAGACATGATTTTCCTCACATAAAACCATGCTGACTATCCCTAATCATTTCTTGCCTCTCCAAATGGATGTAAATCCTATCTTTCAGAATCACTTCAAACACCTTACCCACCAATGAAGTCAGACTTACAGGTCTGTAGTTCCCAGGCTTCTCCTTACATCCCTTCTTAAACAAATGGACAACATTAGCCTCTCTCCAGTCATCTGGTACCATACCCATTGTTATAATTGATACAAATATTTCTGCAAGAGGCCCCGTAGTTTCCTCCCTAACTTCCCACAACATCCTGGGATACACTAGATCAAGTCCTAGAGATTTATCCACGTTTATATTTCTCAGACCTCCAGCATTCCCTCTTCTATATGTGAACTGTTTTCAAAACATCAATATTTATTTCCCTGAGTCCTCGAGCCTCCATTTCTTTCTCCACAGTTCAAAAAAAAGTGCAAAATATTCATTTAGTTTCTCTGCCATCTCCTGAGGTCCAACCCCTCTTTGATCTTTAAGGCGCTCTGCTCTCTCTCCAGATGCTCGTAATGTACTTGTAGAATCTCTTTACATTATCCTTCACCTTATTTGTCACGGCCATCTCATATGCTGTCTTTGCTTTCCTGATCTCCCTGTTAAGAATGCCCCCACGCTCTTTACACTGTTCAAGAGATTCATGTGAACCCAGTTGTCGGTATCTAATATACAATACTTTTTATTTTTGACTAGAACCTCAATATCTTTATTTGTCCATTGTTCTCTAATCCAACCAGCCTTACCTTTCACTCTAATCGGGACATAATGACTCTGAACTTTCGTATTCACACTTTTGAAATCCTCTAGCTTATCAGATGTCCCTTTGTCTGCAAACAGTCTACTTCAGTCAAATTTTGAAAGTTCTTGTCTCATACAATTACAGTTTGCCTTACTCCAATTAAAACCTTTAATTTTTATGGAAGGCTTATCCTTTTCCGTAACGATTTTAAAACAAATAGCATTACGATCATGAGACTCAAAGTGTTCCCCTCCTATCACTTCAGTCACTTGCCCTGTCTTATTACCGAAGAGAATGTCAAGTTTTGCTCCTTCTTTAGTGGGAGCAATTACATACTGATAAAGAGAATTATCTTGAACACATTTAACAAATTCTTCACCATTCAAACCTTTAACACAATGGTAGTTCCAGTCAATGTTTGGAAAATTAAAATCACCTACTGTTACAACCTTATTACTCTTACCTATTTCTGAGATCTCTCTATCTACATGTTTGTTCCTCAATTTCTTTCTGACTACTGGGGTGTGTATAATACAATTCCATCAATGTGATCATTCCTTTTTTTATTTCTAATTTCAACCCATATATTTTCACTGGACAATTTTTCAGAAATATCTTCTCTAGTTACAGCAGTAATATATTTCTTCCTCAAAAACACCACTCCACCGCCTCTTTTCCCTCTCTTCTATCCTTTCTATAGCATCGAAAACCTGAAACATTGAGTTGCCAATCTTGTCCATCTGTTAGCCAAGTTTCTGTAATAGCTATGACATCCCAATGCCATGTTCCCAAACATGCCCCGAGTTCATCAGCCTTACCTCTAAGACCCGGGACATCTGCTCCTTTTTTCTTCATGCTTTACATGGTGCTAGGTGTAAACTAGTACCCAGTTTTATGGAATTAGCTTGAAAATGAGTAATATTAAAGGCTCCTTTGGTGCATCTAGTGAGCTTTCATTCTTTTTCAGAGGACTTGAAGAAACAAAAGACATCATCTCCTGAAGTTGACAGCATAGCAGATGATGAATACAAACTAACTCAGAGGGTATTGTTGGAAAATTCAGTCCAGATTGAAGGAGAGCTGCCCAAGGATGACAAGAAGGCAAGTTTTAAATTAGAAGTAGATTGAATTTATGTTTGGATTCAATATAGTTGTAACTAGGTAAACTCATTATTTTAAATGCAGAGGGGCATACACAAGAACTGCATGAGGAGATTGAAACTGAAAGTGGAGCCTTTTTAAAGTGCATTTACTGTTTTATATTGACATTCATAATTGATATACATTTGCCAAAAAGTTGTTCAGTTGGTAATTGTTCAGCGTACTTTAGGATAAGTGAGACTACAGTCATGCAAAGAAATTTGAAAAGTTTACAAAGTGCCTCAATTTTGGGCTGTTCATGTTTTGTTTTTCTGTCTAGCAAAGTTATACCAGTACAATGGCAAATGACTGGGAGTAGTTTTAAGAGATGTTTGAGTACTATTGATTAAGCACTCAGTGCTGATGACCGCATTTAAAGACTGATTTTAGAGGATTACTGACACCCTAATAGCAGATTTAACTTTAACGTGGAATTATTTTGAAATTAAATGAGTTAGTGATTGCATCTCCACTGACAATTTAGCTTCATCATATTGTCTGTCTCTGTAATTACTTAAAGCTAGCATATTAGGGGCGTTTGTGGCACGGTGGTCATGACCCACCTCTGAATGAGGTGGCGTAGTGTTAAGTCCTAAATATTCTGTAAAAGTCTGTTTGAACAGGTTGGTTAGTGTTTGACCTCCTTCTCGCCTGAACAGCAAAGATTTTGAAAAATGTCAGACCTGTATTTATCTGGACCTGAGGATGTTCCAAAGTGCTTTAGAGCTAATGAAGTTTTCAATTGTCACTGCTGTAACATCAGCAACAGCACAGTCAATTTGCAGAATGGTCACTTGAAGCTAATGTGACATTTGTAAAATATATGACTGGTGTCTGTCAGCCAATCTATTCAAAAAAATCACTTAACTCTTGGAAAATAAGGCAGGGCAGGTGACTGAGGTGTCAGTGGGGGAACACTTTGGGTCCAGTGACCATAAACTATTAGTTTTAAAATAGTGATAGAAAAGGATAGACTGGATCTAACAGTTAAAACTTTAAATTGGAGGGAGGCCAATTTTGACGGTGTTAGGCAAGAACTTTCAAAAGTAGACTGGGGCGGACTTTCGCAGGTAAAGAGAAAGCTGGAAAATGAGAAGCCTTCAAAAATGAGATAACAAAGAGTCCGGAGACAGTATGTTCCTGATAGGCTGAAGGGCAAGGCAGGTAGGTGTAGGAAATGCTGGATGACTAGAGAAATTGAAGTTTTGGTCAAGAATAAGGAGGAAGCAAAAGGCAGGTACAGACAGCAGAGATGAGTGATTCCCTAAAAGACTATAAAAGCAGTAGGGGTATACTTAAGAGGGAAATCAGGAAGGCAAAACGGGGACATGAGATAGCTTTGGCAAATGGGGTTAAGGAGAATCCAGAAAGATTCTACAAATACATTAAGAACAAAAGGGTAGCTAGGGAGAGAATAAAGCCTCCTAAAGATCAGCAAGGCTGCCTATGTGCAGAACCGCAGGAGATGGGGGAAGATACTAAACGACTATTTTGCATCAGTGCTTCTTGTAGAGAAAGATATGGAATTTAGGGAACTAAATAACGACATCTTGAAAATTGTCCATATCACAGAGGAGGTGGTGCTGGACGTCTTAAAACGCATGAAGGTGGATAAATCCCAGGGACTTGATCAGGTGTAAGCTAGAACTCTATGGAAAGCTGGGGAAGTGATTGCCAGGCCCCTTGCTGAGATATTTGTATCATTGATAGCCACAGGTGAGGTGCTGGAAGACTGGAGGTTGGCTAATGTGGTGCCATTATTTAAGAAAGGTGGTAAGGAAAACCCACGGAACTATAGACTAGTGAGCCTGACATCGGTGGTGGGCAAGTTGTTGGAGGGAATCCTGAGGAACAGGACTTGCATGTACTTGGAAAGGCAAGGGCTGATTAGGGATGGTCAACATTGCTTTGTGCATGGAAAGTCATGTCTCATGAACTTGATTGAGTTTTTTGAAGAAGTGACAAAAGAGGATTTAAGATGGCAGAGATAACACCGTGTGGAACTGGAGGAACACAGCAGGCCAGGCAGCACTAGAGGAGCAGGAAAGTTGATGTTTTGGGTCAGGACCCTTCTTTAGAAATTCTTCTTCAGTTCTTACTATCTCTTGATGATGGCAGAGGGTGGACTTGATCTATATAGACTTCAGTTAAGGGGTTTGACAAGGTTCCTTATGGTAGACTGGTTAGTAAGGTTAGATCACACAGAGTGGAGGGAGAAATACCTACTTGGATACAGAATTGGCTCGAAGGTGGTGGTGGAAAGTTGCTTTTCGGATTGAAAGCCTGTGACCAGCAGTGTGCCACTAGGATCAGTTCTGGGTCCACTCTTTCTGTCATTTATATAAATAATTTAGATGTGAACATGGGAGATATGGTTAATATGTTTGCAGATGATACCAGAATTGGAGGTGTAGTGGACAGTGAAGAAGGTTACCTCAGAGTGCAACGGGATCTTGATCAGATGGGCCAATGGGCTAAGGAGTGGTAGATGAAGTTCAATTTAGATAAATGTGAGGTGCTGCATTTTGGAAAGGCAAATCAGGGCAGGACTTACACACTTAATAGTAAGGTCCTGGGGAGCGTTGTTGAACAAAGAGATCTTGAAGTGCAGGTTCACATTTTCTTTAAAGTGGAGTTTCCTCAGGTAGATGGGGTAGTGAAGAATGCGTTTGGTATTCCTGCCTTTATTGGTCAGTGCGTTGAGTATAGGAGTTGGGAGGTAATGTTGCGGCTGTACGGGACAGTGATTAGGCCACTATTCGAACACTGCATGCAATTCTGGTTGCCCTCCTATAGGAAGAATGTTGCGAAACTTGAAAGGGTTCAGAAAAGATTAACAACGATGCTGCCAGGGTTGGAGGGTTTGAACTATAAGGAGAGGTTGAACAGGCTGGAGCTATTTTCCCTGGAGCGTTGGAGGCTGAGGGGTGACCTTATAGAGGTTTATAAAATCATGAAGGGCATGGATAGGGTATATAGACAACATCCTTTCCTTGGCATGGGTGAGTCCAAAACTAGAGGGCATAGGTTTAAGGTGAGAGGGAAAAGATTTAAAAGAGACCTAAGGAGCAACATTTTCACGCAGAACGTGGTACGTATATGGAATGAGTTGCCACAGGAATTGGTGGAGGCTGGTACAATTGCAACATTTAGAAGGCATCTGGATAGGTGGAACGAAATTTATTTAGGATATCTGGTCAGCATGGACGAGTTGGACAAGGGTTTGTTTCAGTGCTGTATATCTCTATGACTGTAAGTCAGATTCATTTTCCTGTTATACAGTGGTTGCTAATGTTTGTTCTAAGTGATAAATCTTGCTGCGACCAGTCAAAGCTGCTATTTTGAAGGTGGTTAACTAAACCAGATTAATTGTAGATATTGTCTAATCAACCTATCCAAAGTTGTTTTTATGCAAGTATGGAGCAGGTGGGACTTGAACCCATACCTCCTGGCCCAGAGGTAAGGATTCTATCACTGAACCATGAGAGCCTTTAGTGCTAGATTAATTGTATTTGTCTTCTTTTATAATCTGTTGCCTTGGGCAGCATTTGGTATAGCTGCAGCCATTTAAGTTTGCCTGGCATCTCTTTAATGCCTGACCTAAAGACCAGAAACTGGTAATGGAAAAATAATTTATTAAAAAAGAATATTGGTCTAAAAATAATGTGAGGTAAGTAATTTTCAAGCAAACCCTCAACGTTTTGAGAGACTTCAGACATAAGTCCATTGATGCAGAGATGGCCAAGAGGCTTATCACCACTTTTTCCAGTGCAATTAGAGATGGGCAGTAAACACTGGCCAGCAAGCAAAAGTAAGATTTTAAAGATTATGAAAGGTTGTGAATGGGAAATATTTTCTCAACTTGGAGAGTCAATAAGGAAATCATAATTTTAAAATGGCACTGGGAAATGGGGTAAAATGAATATACAAATATTTATGAAGAGAATTCTTAGAACTAGGAATGCTTTGCTAAAAGTGATTAATTATGGCAGAGACTTTTGTATGTAGGCAAGGAAGAATAGACATAATTGGAAGCAGAGGAAAATGCAGAATCCCCCTTTGGGATTAGTTTGGATTACTCTTGCATGCAACTGGCCAAATGACCATCTCTGTTGAAAGGTTTCTATGTATAATGACTTTGTTTCTTTGAGATTTACTGTTGTCTTGCATTTAGATCAATTAATATAGTAAGGACATTATGTAAAACAATCTGGATTTCAGACCAGTAAAATAACTATGCATTGTCAAACAGTGGTTAAGGGCTTAACAGTATTTAGAGTAGATATTTGTTGTACAGAGCAGTTGCTGTAGGGTGAACGATATCATCTAGTAGGGTCTGATAGAGATGCCTGAGACCAAATGGGAAACAGGTGATGATTTTATGTTAAAGAATAGGCAGCATGCATGGAGAGAAAGCAAGCTGACGTAACGAGTCTAAACTCAAAATGTTACCTTGGCTTTCTCTTCATGGATGCTGCCTGACCTGCTGTGATCAATAGCATTTCTTGTTTTCAGTACAGATTCCAGCATCTACAGAAATTTACTCCTCCTTAATTAAGGGATAGTTGGCAAGCACTTTGCTGAATTTATAACAACAAGTAACCACTGTGGTTGTAGTTTGTGTAGAAATGAAACTGACCAGACAAGTATATGGCTACACTTTGGCATACCAACATTTAACCTCTGGTATTTGATAGTGAAATTCAACTTTTAACAAATGGTGCTCGAGTGAGTAACAACAAAAATGTAATATTTCAACTGTGTATGTTTTGTGTAATTTTGTTCACTGCTTCTTAGAGCTAGATAAAAGATAGAGCGAGATGTGTTCTTATTTTCACTGCCTAGAAACAATAGAACTTTCCTCGACATTTATTGTGTTCAACTAAAATATTTTCAAGTGTCTAGTAGTTCCAGTATCAACAGCAAGGCCTGAAGTGTATAATAATATGCTTGCAAATGTTGAAGCATTAGCAAAGCATTGGTTTCCATTTAAAATAAACCCTGTGGTAGGGCTCTCTTTTTCTTTAGATGACAATAACAGGTGCTATGTAGAATTTTAAAGTGAAGCCACAGCTTTGAATATGATGGAAATTAAATGAATGTGCTTTTTCCTAAAACCAATGATATTTTAATAACCAATTGCATTCTTAATTAAATAATTTTCTCCAAGAGCATGAAGACTATTACTTCTGTGTTCAGGTTCTTCTCCTATAACACTTTGATTTCTGTTGGTTACTGCATTGTGTTCCTTGTAACAAATGTTTCCTGTTTATGTGAACCATACAGAACAGTAATTGTGTTTATGGTAGAGTGATCAGAGTTGATTTTTTTTGTCTTGCACAAAGAATATATTTTTATACTTTATCCGAACAATTTTAAAATGGGATACTTAAAATATCCAAAATGTTATTTTTTCTTTATGGAGACTCGAGAAAAAATGCAATGCTCACCAAGTGATTTATCCCTTGGTTAGTAATTAACATTGTAAACTTGAAGCAAACAAAAATAAAATGCAGTGAAGTGTATCTTGTTGCTGCAAGTTGCAAAGGATGCTGATTGTCAGAATTCCAATCTTCTGGTGAAATGGGCTGTTTTGTTGTTTGCTTGCCTATTTAACATTTTCAGCTTCTTTATTCCAAGCCAGACTGGCTGCAGAGGCTCCTTGTTCAGGTTTAATGATGAAAACTCACCTTTAGGTTCATTAAAGTAGGCATGCCTCCTACAGGCTGAGTCTATTACATGCCAGTGGTTTAGACCATAGTGTCAAGTAGGTTTCTCTGGTAAATCAAGTGATATAGGATAATTCGTTCACTCAGCTTTGAAATGACCCAGTTGAATTACCGAATCTTCTAGCAGTAAGTTAGAAACTTCCTGTAATATACTGTATTGGACCACTTCAGACTCAGTTACAATTCAGGCCTATTGAATCTTTTCATTCCGGCAAATGGGACTAGTTCAGTTTGGGGAAACTTGGTCAGCGTGGACGAGTTGGACCAAAGGCTCAGGTTCTGTTCTGTATGACTGTAACTGTCACTCGAGGAGACAGTGAGCAAACATCTGAAAGAAATGGTTGGGAGCAATAGTAAAAATGAGTTTCATTTTTAAAAAAGTGCAATTCAAATTGATTAAATTGATAATTTAAATGAGTAATTAATAAAAATGGCCCTTAATAGTGAAAACAGCACAGCTAACAAATTGTTTTTCCATCTAGGTATGAAGCAGGGTTGAAGCAGAGCTAAAGAAAGACAAAATTCCTGGTCATCAAGGAAGAGGAGAGGTCTGGGGCCAAGCTAAGGAATTGAGTTGAAATAACATAAACCTTGCTTTTATCTCTGACGATGTACAGTCAGAGCTGGTGTTGGCAGAATTCATATGAGCGTTGGGAGAAGGTTGTCCTACAGTCTGACTTTTTTCCTTTTCCCACCATGCTTTGTGAGTAGGTTTTTTGGGGAGGGAGGAGATGGAAGGAGTGAGTGTATTTGATTCAGTCGTAGAGTTCACAACCATGCACACTACATCTCCAATGCTCTTTCACTGTCTCCCCCTCTATACATCATCCATCTCTCCCTCTGTCTTCTCTGTTTCTCTCGCTCTCTCTGTCTTCCTCTCATTCTCTCCCTCTTCCTTCCTGTCTTTCTACACTCTGTCTTCCCCCTCCCTAACACCTCTCTCTCTGTACTCCCCAACTCTCCCTCTCCTTCCCTTCCTCTCTGCCCCTCTTTCATCCCCTTCCCTGCTTGCCCCCTGTTCTCTCTCTTTCTGTCTCTCCCCTCCTCTCTTCCCCCTCAGTCATACAAACACAGACACACACCTCACAGCCTGCAGGTTCCGATGCCCACTCCACCTTGGTTGTGGCCCCTCAGAGGACAAGAACTTGAATCATTTGCTCACTTGGATTGTTGCTACCTGCACCCTCTGGCAACTGAGCCTGTTTCCTGACAAGTCTCATGCCTTGTATGCTCTCCAACCCCTACTCCTCCCCACAAGCAGATTCTCTATCACTGTTAACAATGTGCAAGCCTTATTGATAAACCTGTCAGCACCAAATATGTGTGAGAAACAACATCTGATTAGAAGAGTGTCTCCTTATGGAATCTTGCTGTTTCCAGTATTTGGAAGTCTGGTGACAATCCACATCGGGCCCCTTCCTGAGGGAACATTCTGGTTCACAGGATGTCTGTTGGACAAGCCGAATCCAAGTAATGGTCTCAAAGAAAGCAACAGGAGGTGTCAAAAAGGCATAATTCCATATTATTTGTGAGACTTCTCAAAATATTTTTAACAATAGGACTTGTTAGAAACTCAGGAAGTATCCTCTTTTTGTGGTCACTTTGGGGTTGAGCCAAAGATTCAGGGACAGTTAAATTGTTCACCCGTGAGCTGAATAAGTTTATATTAGAGAATCATAGAGATGTACAGCATGGAAACAGACATTTCGGTCCAACTCATCTGTGCCAACAAGATATCCTAGATAAATCACATTCCCGTCTATTATTATTATCTGTTATTTAAAACTACCACATTGTAGAATATAATTGTTCTGAAGGAGCAAGTGCTCATGTTAGAGTTCCACTCTTTCATGTCACTCATTGCGAATGGAGATTGTGTGTTTGTAGTAACCTTCATAGGGAGTAGATCTGTTAATGTATTTTGTGCAACTGTTGTGATCCCTTGTAATTACACATCACTAGTATGTGGTTGTACTTATTGCTATCATGCAATAAACAATAATAAATTGTTAGCAAAGAATAATGTCTCTTCTATAAAGACTTTACAGAGGTGTAACCTTCAGGCTGTAGATGAAGTATAGAGAAAGGAAGATCGGTGGCAGTGAACTGATTCAAACAACCCTTTCTCTGATCCACATCCTGGCAGAGGTAACGGATACCATGAGGTTCCAGTCGCAGCAATCAGGATAATATCACAGTACATAAGGCTATGCACCCAATGATGTGACGCAAGTGTGCAAAACTTTCATAAGCCACCAAAATCCATTTGGAATTCTTTCTTTTTATTACAGTTTAAAGGGAATTAATTTTGAAGCTCTAACAGGCTAGGCAGGCAGGGGTTAAACTAGTCAAAATGTGGACCCTCAACCTGCCATGAATGTGCAAATGTCTAGATTACCCATGGCAATTTAGAGTTAGCTGGGTAACTCACACAGGAGAAATGGATCAGTGATTAAAATATTTAAATGAGGAGTTCTTTCTCGGAAGTTGGAAATTATTTCAGGGTATGGAAAGAGTTCCTGTTTAATTCTATTTCAACATTATTTAAAAGCTCCAATTAAACCTTTTGAGTTGTAAGACTATTTAGAAATGGCTTTTCTTTTTCCTGTTTGCATCTTGTCCTTTTGTCCTATTATTCCCTGAGTGAATGTATCATGGAACATTGTGGTGTAAGCAATGGTTACTTTATCAGATTATGTAATCATATTTCCTTGTTGGACTTGCTCTCAATATGCAGAAGTCACATTGTCATGTCAATTATATTCTGACACTCTTGGATAAAATATGCATAGACAATAGATAGATTTCACAATGTTACAATTTGATTTCAAAGATGGTAACTATTGAAGAATTTTTATTCACATTTTGTTTGTCTTTCAACTTACTTAAGGTAGAACATTACATTGACATTGAGCAAAGGGACAACAAAAAACAAACTGAATACCAAAGCAATACTGGTAAGTATTTAGTATTTTATATCACTGTTCTTGGGTGTAATTGAATTTAAATGGATTGAGTGGCCTTGACAAGTTGTTTTGACAGTGTTTGTCCAGAAGCTTTAAATGTAATTGATACTTCTATCCTCCTTCCTTCTCACAGTCTTCTCGTTAGGAAAAGTGTTTAGCATACTGCTCCAGGTGATACCTCAGTCTATCATTTGTGAAATAATTTTCAGTGGAACAATTTGCCCGGGACAAACTCACTCATTCTTAAATCCTTAGATACTGACCAGTAGTTTCAGTATTTACATTTCATAATGGTTTACAATATCATTGAACTTTCACTCATTAATGAGAGCTTAAAAACTCAAGAGCATGTTTACAAGAATGAAATCAGGGATTAAGGGCTTGTCATACAAGGAACAGTTGAGGACTCTGGGTCTGTACTAGATGGAGTTTGGAAGGGTGAGAGGGAGAACTCATTGAAACTTACAGAATACTGAGAGGCCTGGAAAGAGTGGACTTGGAGAAGATGTTTCCACTAATAGGAGAGAATCGGACCCAAGTGTACAGTCTGAGAATGAAGGGATGACTTTTTAGAGCTGAGATGAGGAATTTCTTCAGCCATAGGATGGTGAATCTGTGGAACTCATTGCCACAGAAGGCTGAGGAGGTCAAGTCACTGAATGTATCTAAGAGACGTAGGTAGGTTCCTGATTAGTAAGAGGATCAAGGGATATGTGGAGAAGGCAGGGGAATGGAGGTGAGAAACATTTCAATGGTGGAGCAAACTCGTTGGGCCGAATGGCCTAATTCTAGTTATATTTTATGGTCCCATTGCATTTGCTGTGTGAATAACTGTTGGGGCTGGATATTACAAGGTATCATAGTCCTTGTCTCTTGCCAGAAAGTCGGAACAGTGTCATCAGGGCTAGGAACGGTTGTGCCTGTCTGTTAGTAGCCAGCAGGCAGGATATTCACCCATCAGGAATAGGCAGTCCCACTACAGCAGTAAACTGCTGCTCAAGCAGCTGGCAATTCTCCAGTGTTCGCGACATGACTGGGAGTGGTAGCCATCGCCAGTATTGTACTTGAGGCTTGAGATGAACAGTGCTACCTGATCTGGATTGTGTTGCAAGTGTTTGAGAATTTTGCTGGGTGGCAAGCTGACAGGCTGTAGGGAGAAGTGTTTGGGATTTGAGAGGCTATTGAGGAAATGGAAACCTGGAGCAGGTCATACCTGCAAGGAGTCCCTTTATTGGGCTTCCTTTGTACTAGGCATGATTCCAAACAGTGGAGAGCTGAATTTCTAAAGCAGGGTCACAGGACTTGAAACGTTAACGCTGTTTTCTCTCCACAGCTGCTGCCAGTCTTGCTGAGATTCTCCAGAAATCTCTGTTTGTATTTGCTTTAGACCTCTAGCATCCACAGACCTTTGTTTTATTTTAATGGAGAACTTTCCCTCAATTCCAACTGACTCGAGTTTTGCTAGGACTCCTTGATACCACAGTCGCTGAATTAATGCCTTTCCAGGTCAGCAACTGAGGAGCCCTGATGAAAACCAAACTGAGTGTCAGTGGCCAGGTGATTGAGAAGCTTATTAGCACCGTTGATGACCCCATCCATCACTTTACTGACGGTCAAGAGTAGATTGACGGGATGGTAACTGACCAGGTTGGACCTGTCCTTCTGTGTACAGGACACCTGCACCGGGACAAGATTCCACATTGTTGGATAGATGCCAGTGGTATACCTGTCCTGGTGAAGCTTGTCTAGGGGTGCAGTTCTGACACAGAAGTCTTTAATATTTCCAGAATATTGTCAGGGCCCATTGTAGCAGCCTTTGTAGCATCTAGAGCCTTTATGTTTTCTTGATATAATATGGTGTGAATTGAATTGGCTGAAGATCTGCATGTATGATACTGGAACCTCTGGAGGTGGCCAAGATCATCAACTCGATACTTCTAGCTAAAGACTGATTCAAATGCTTCAACCATATTTTTTGCACTGATGAGCTGGGTTCCCCATCTGAGAATGGGGTTATTTGTGGAGCTTCCTCCTCCAGAATGATGTTGCTTATATGAATTGGGCACTTGGCACAAATACCAAGTAAGAGACCCGAGCCTAGATTTTTGTGGTATGTCAGCATATCCAAAACAGCTCTCGGAACCCAGATCCAGAAATCCTACCATTATTTCTGACATATGCTATTTTTACCAGTAGGGAAACAATGAAAACACAAACTGAACTTCTTGCTGACATGACTAATTTCTCAATGGAGTGTGGGCTTTATCTCACAGTACATTATGAGGAATCTTTAGTGTAGATGTGAATCCTGAACGGCACGTAAAGGCAGTGGAACTGTCAAGCTGTGGAGTTAAGTAGTCTGCCCTTAAAAATTGTGAATTTTAAAATACACAATCAACGCTTATCACAGTGGGGTACTCTATATTCTCAATTTGTTTGACAGTTTCAAGAATTTACAAAAGGATTAACTGTCTTGTATTCATTTCCTCACATTTAAATGTTTGTTTTTAAAAGTGAGTTAAATATTGGTATAGGAAAGATGTCAAACTTGAAAGGGTTCAGAAAAGATTTACAAGGGTGATGCCTGGGTTGGAGGGTTTGAGCAATAGGGCAAGGCTGAATAGGCTGGGACTATTTTCCTTGGAGCATTGGAGGCTTGGGGGTGACCTACAGAGGTTTATAGAATCATGTGGGGCATGGATAGAGCAAATAGACAAGGTCTTTTCCCTGTTGTAGAGGAGTCAAAAACTAGATGGCACAGGTTTAAGGTGAGAGGGGAAAGATTTAAAAGGGACCGAAGGGGCAACTTTTTCATGCAGAGGGTGGTGTGTGTATGGAATGAACTGCCAGAAGAAGTGATTGAGGCTGGTACAATTACAACATTTAAAAAGCATCCAGAAGGGTATATGAATAGGAAGGGTTTGGAGCTGGCAAATGGGACTAGGTCGGCATGAACGAGTTAAACTGAAGCATATGTTTCCACGTTGTACAGCTCTGACTCTATGACTTGAGGGTATTTAAATATACTAAGTGGACTTTAATGAATGAGTGCATTTCTTTTTGTATAGTGAAGTCTGTAATAGAAACTCAACTTTATTATGTTTCATCTCAGCATAGTTCCAGAGTTCTGCCCATGGCGGATGCTGGTTGGCATAGAAGGTGTAAAAGTAAAGTGTAATGACTATATTCCCTTAACTTTTTACTCGTCGTGCAGAATTCTATGGTCAGTGTACAGCTACCATTTCTGCATGCAGAAGTCAAGGAATCCCAATAGTGGGGCATAATGTTCAACAATAGTAATGCCACTGAATATCAATAATTAGATTTTCTTTTGGTGGAAATGGTCATTGCTGGCATTTGCATGACTTGTTACTTGCCACTTGTCAGCCCAAGTCTGGATATTAAAACAAAGTTGCTGGAAAAGCTCAGCAGGTCTGGCAGCATCTGTGAAGGGAAAAACAGAGTTAATGTTTCGGGTCCGATGACCCTTCCTCAGAACTGATGGTGGCTGGGAAAACGTCAGTTTATATGCAGGCTGGGAGGGTGAATAGTTGTTCATGGAGACTATTAGTGACTAACAACAGGTGGTGTGTAATGGCAGGCTATGTGGTAGCAAGGCCTGGTGTGTGGGGTAGGGGGCTGGGACATGGGAGAGTTTAGGCCCGAAAATTATTGAACTCAATATTGAGTCTGAAGGGCTGCAGGGTTCCCAAGCGGAAAATGAGGTGTTGTTCTTCCAGCTTGCGTTGAGCTTTGCTGGAACACTGCAGCAAGCCAGAGACAGAGATGTTGGCCAGGGAACAGGGTGCTGCATTAAAGCGGCAAGCAACAGGTAGTTCAGGGTCTTTTTTGCGAGTAGAACATAGATGTTCTACGAAACGGTCACCCAGTCTACACCTCGTTTCCCCAATGTAGAGGAGACCACGTTGTGAGCAGCGAATGCAGTAGGCTAGATTCTGGGAAGTGCAGGTGAAGTGTTGCTTTACCTGGAAGGTATGTTTGGGCCCTTGGATACTGGGGAGGGTGGAGGTAAATGGGCAGGTGTTGCACCTTCACCGGTTACAGGGGAAGCTGCCGAAGAGCCGTGGGGAGTGTTGGGAATGAAGGAAGTGTGGACTGGATATTGTCCAGGTCTCGCTGGATTTAGGCATCAACTGCTTCAGTAACTGAAGAGTCACAAATGGTGTTGAACACTATGCAAACCATCAGAAAACATCCCCATTTCTGACTTTACATGAATGGAAGATCATTGTTGAAGCAGATGTAGATGGTTAGAACTCCTGTAATGATGTTCTAGTCCTGAGATAACTGACCTTCAACAGTCACAAACGTAAAGCTTGGGGTTCATTAATGAAGGGTCCCTCCCACCAACAGCCCACAGGAGGCAACTTAATGGACTGGGATCTTGGCATGAATTTCACCCACCACCAGCTAAATCCAAGCAGAGGCTGAAAGACATCTTCAGTACACATTAAAAGCCTGCTTAAGGGTTTTATTTGGCCCACTGTGAACATGGGCAGGACCAGGCGACTTGGCTATCAGCAGGCTTCCTACTTAAAAGCTAGATACTTTCACATCTAGCATGTAAAACCTACAAGAGTTTGTGTACTTCTGTGCTGTCTTCAAACCCATTGTGGGCATGAGGTAAAATACAGCTTTGTTTTCTCATGTTTCCTCTGATTCTTTTGCCTATTACCCCATAAATCTGTGCCTGTCTCGTTATTGACTTGTGCCATTTAGAATAACATGTCACCATCTGAATCTCCAAAGCCAATTCATATAAGCGACATCAACCACACAACCCTCCTCAAATATCTCCTTAATTGCAAAAAGCTCAACCAAGTTAATGAAACGCTATTTTCTTTAACAAATTTGGTCCGACTTTCATTTATTAATTTACATCTTTCACAAATTCCAATTAATTCTATCGTGGATTTATGTTTCTGAAATGCCCCAGCACTGATATTAAGTTGACGGATACTCAATTGCTGGTTTTACCCCTGCTCCCCTTTTTAAATCGCGTTAGGTATAAGCAATCCTCCAATACTCCATTAGAAGTTAAATTTGTTAAAGGTCCATTGGTAGATTATTTTGGTTTAATCTTGAATTGTGGCTGACATGACAAGTAGTAAACTTTGGAAGCATTTCAGAATAATTATGAATTATTTTATAAACTTGCAAGTTCCACCTCTTTGGTTGCAGCACGTTGGTAAGAGGCTTCTCAGTTACAATGATACATATTCACACAATAAATATATTGATTTTATTCTTTGACTATAAACATTGATACTTACTGAGCCTGAGATGATTCTTTTTTGTGAATTGCTGAAAGTATCTAGCGCCCTCTATTAATAACTTGCTTACAAATATAATGAGATTAATTATGATTCCAACAACTGCTGTCAAGGGGCTGTCCCTGCTGTTCCATGGTTACTTCTGTCTGGACTGTTCTACACCACTGCAGCTCATCAAAACACAGCTGGGCAAATAAGTAACAGAACAGCAACTATCATGAATGAGTGCACTTATTGGTTAAACAATTGAACAAATATTGCAATTGGAACATATGATATAACCACTCATGTACTGATTTTGTACTTTCTCGAATGGTTTTTGTTTTCTGTTTGCAAGGCCGTTGATAGAGGAGCCTCTCCATCATGGTGAAAATGGCTGAATATTATAAATCCAGAAATCAAATACAGCCACTCTTATCTTTTTGGGACTGGGGCGCATTTTGCACTTGTGCATTTCACAGAGGCAGCTGGCTATTTAAATTCAGCAGCTGCCTCCACTGAAGTGGGATTTTGGTAGTTAAGAGTGTGAAAGCCAAAGGGTGCAGATTTAACTTTGTAAGTGCAGATCAGAAGTTAGTGGATTAATTTGGATAGCCTGGATGTCCTTTTTGGAGAGGTAATGTATCACTTTGGTTAGGGTTCAAGGACACCTTTGGTGGAAGGATGTTGGGAAAGGTAAAATGCTGTTTGGAATTGTTATAGGTGGTACTATTGTGCATAAAATGTGCAAAGCTCATGACCGTCAGGTATTATGATCCCAACTGTGGTACTCCTGTATGTCAGCAGATTCCAGAATGAAATCTACTTTGATAGATCCTATATGATCATTTAACAGGATGTGAAGGGATGCCTCAGATGTAATGGACTAAAAAAACTGGAAATTGATATTAATTAATAGTTAATTAGGTGAGAATTGGTTGGATGAACATGGGCAGCAACTTATCAGTGGGTTGAGACTTTTTATAGAGTTTGGTTAACTGAAATAATACACTCACTAAAATTGTGGTTTTGGCCTCTGTTTAAAGGCATTTATCTTCTGATGTATAACACTTGTTTCATTATTGTTAATGTGATGGTTGGCCATTGAAATAGTCGCATGGGGCTTCAGATTTTCTTTAACAACAGTACAGAAGTTTATTACACAAAAGAAGAAATTAAAAAAAAGGACATGCTGTCTAGATATACAACCTCTGTGCATGTATAACCTAGTATGCCTCGCTCCGACTAAGCACCCTATGATCTGTATGTCCTTGTTTGCTATGATCTTCTGTACTGCAAAAGAAAGCTTTTTATTGTACTTAGGTACATGTGATTACAATAAATCAAACCTAATATTTTCAGAAAAATTAATTCACTGTAATTTGTTTTGGGAAGACCTGAGAATATGAAAGACTCTTTTTGTAATTGGTTCTTCCTTTTAACATTGTTCTGTGTCTGCCTGGAGTGTGCCATAAGGTGACTTGCTTACATAATTTTTCTCAGTCATTGTGGGAATCTGTCTCTCTCTCAGTTACAGTTTGACTCTTATTGAGAGCTTGCCTTATGAGGAATTGAGTGGTGAGTAGAGTCCTAGTATTCCAGCACACAGGTTAACAAAATACTGTGACATGCACAGCTTGCCATCCTGAAAGCGCTTTCATCAAATTTCAATTTTTGAACATCATAAAGTGAGGTTGTAAGAATATTTGGAATAAAAAGATATTTCATAGTTCAATGTTGAAAGCTTAAACAGAAATGTTTGTCATTTTTGTGGTATGAAGATATTTAATACTCAATATAGTCAAATCCAGTTTAGGAAATTGATCTCTAATGGAGATCACACCGCCAAGATCACACTTATTGTCTTAAGGATCTGGGGTAGGGGGTTTGCTTCTTTTCTTTCCTGCTATCCCTTGATAGTGATGCTCCCACAATGTGTAGGATGCAAGTTCATACATTAATACCAATTTTAAAAGTCTATGTTGTCTGTAATCGTATTTCTTAAGAGAAAGTAGTTTTCACAGTATAAAGAAAATATGACTCTTTTAACCTCGTGAATTTTTAATTGGATTTGTGTGTCGATGTTCTTATTTGTTATATATGGAGCCAAAGGTAGATAAATATTTACAGTATATTTCTAGCTTGTGTTATTATCCGGCACTGTCCTTTGAATTTAGGCCTAGAAGTACTCCCTGGGGAAATAATAGAGGAGACTGCTGCAAATTATACTCATTATGAAAGTAAACACACATCACTTAACTTCAAAGTGAATCCAAATGTTGAAGAGTATAATGAAAAATCATACGACCAGGTATGTCAGTTATTTAAGACCTCTTGAAAATACTTTATAATGTGGCAGAGAAGCTTGTTAGCTTTGCCTCATTGTTGTCCACAATCATATTTTCTGTGACCTGCTGATTTAATCAAATCCAAACTGCATTTGCTTCTGCCCATCCAAATCCAAATAACTTTGTAGAATATTAACCTAAACTTCAATTCTAATCTCCAGCTATACTTGAATTGCAACCCAGTGAGTTCACAACTTTCTTCAAAAGAAATCTGTTAAAAGGAATGTTATATGAACCACTTCTGAAGACCTAATGTGTTGTACTTTTGAAGTCTTACAGATAAAACATTATGAATCATTCCTTGATAATGGCTCTATTTGAAACTTATTAATGTTCATGAACTTAAATGCTTTAAAATTAACTATTCAAAGTAGAATTGACTATTTCTAGTATTTGTTATAGTCTCTGCAATCAATCTGTTCTGTTAAAATAGTTTGAAGCACCTTAAAGATGTAATATTCAGAATACACAATTTCTAATGTTACTTGGTATGGGAATGTAGTAGTTATCCTTTGAATTAAGATGTATTGAAATGTCATATTTTCTCTTCTTTTCGGAGTTTACTTTTCAAAATGAATGATTTCCTCTAATTAGTAATGTGCTGGGAGAAAAAACCATGAGAATAATACACGTTTTCATCAATAGTGTTTTGTTTGCAATCAAAATTTTTCTATGAGGAAAAATGTTAAAAGATAAAAATAAATTTTGGCCTGGAGTTTAAAAAAAAAGGACACTACCTTAATCCAATCATGATTATTTATTTCATTATCCAAAATCCCACCTGGTTTTTAAACACCTGGTTTTCTGCCTGTGAGGATGCTTCAGTGTGAAGGATTGCTGACTTCCGACATCACTTTTGTTTGATGCCTTTTGACTTGTTAGCAGGTTTTAAACTGCCATTGGAAAAGAAGAAATCCACACCACATTGCTAGATCTTTGTGTGCAATGTTGTTTCAGGCCAGAAGTCAGTGCTATCATTTTCTCACTGACTGTGAAATCTGGCGTTTTACTATTTGAAAGTTCCGGTGATCAACCTAAAAATTGAAGTGCACAGAGATCTTGTATGGCTTACAATTTCTACACACTCGCAGCAATGCGCCGGCATCTCCAGGCCCGACAATCAAGCCTACCCCAACTCAGAGCCTCCCTCTCCCAGACCTGCAAAGGACCTCTCCTGTTTTTCATTCTTCGCAGGATCCACAACCTCAACTCACGATTCTATTCTGCCTTATTGGACACTAAAAACCATAATTATACTAAACTTACTGGTGCCTGCCACCCAACACAGGCCTCTTCCACCCCCCAAATCCCCAACCCTACCCAGGACCTTCCCCACAATGTGCCCACTGCCATTGACCATATGGCCACTATTGGGGCACCCACGGACTCCATGGATGACATCACATCCGCCGACGCCTGGCACGCCGCTTCCGATACGGTGACCGCCATTGACGTTGCTGATACCGCCAAAACCGTTTCCGAGACCAACAGCACCACCAATATCGAAGATGCACCTGCTGCCGCTGCCGCCGCCAACATCGAGGACTCACCTGCCAATGCCACTCTGCCCACCACCTCCGCTCTACCCACTGCCGACACCGATGCCGTTCTGCCAACGCTGCTCCGCCCACCGCCCCCCGCCCCCACAGCCAGCAGCTCCACAGTATACACTAGCACCCAGCCCTGCTGGGTCTTCACCATCCACCCCAGACCACCCCCTCACTGAGGACGAACGGTCAGTCCTCAGTAAAGGACTCACTTTTATCCCCCTCCACTCGAACATCAACGAATACTGCTCATGCTTGGACGTCAAACGGTTTTTATAACGCCTCCGCCTCCGCGCTTATTACTTTAATCGTGAGCTTAACCCTCCCTCTACTGCCCCTTCTCCCGCCTCCAACACACCCCTCCTCCGGGACACTACCCCAAGGCCTCCTACCCTCCCTTGATCTCTTCATCTCCAACTGCCGTCGAGACATCAATCGCCTCAACCTCTCCACTCTTCTCACCCACTCCAACCTCTCCCCCACAGAACGTGCAGCCCTTCACTCCCTCCGCTCCAACCCCAACCTCACTATAAAACCTGCAGACAAGTGTGGCGCAGTTGTAGTATGGCGCACTGACCTCTACATTGACGAGGCCAGGCGCCAACTCTCTGACACCTCCTCCTACTGCCCCCTTTATCATGACCCCACCCCCAACCACCAAAACATCATCTCCCAGACCATCCACAACCTCATCACCTCAGGTGACCTTCCACTCACAGCCTCCAACCTCATTGTTCCCCAATCCCGCACCACCCGTTTCTATCTCCTTCCCAAAATCCACAAACCTGACTGCCCTGGTTGACTCATTGTCTCTGCCTGCTCCTGCCCCACCAACCTCATCTCCACTTATGCCGACTCCATTTTCTCCCCCCTGGCCCAGGAACACCCTACCTATGTCCATGACAACATCCACCCCCTCCACCTCCTCCAAAACTTCTGATTCCCTGGTCATCAACATCCAGTCCCTATACACTTGCATTCCCCATGCAGATGACCTAAAAGCCCTCTGCTTCTTCCTGTCCCGTGGCCCGACCAGTCCCCCTCCACTGACACCCTCATCGGCTTAGCCGAACTCGTCCTCACCCTCAACAACTTCTCTTCAACTCCTCCCACTTCCTACAGAAAAAGGGGGTGGCCATGGGTACCTGCATGGGCCCAAGCTATGCCTGCCTTTTTGTAGGATACGTGGAAAAATCCCTCTTCCGCAGCTACACTGGCCCCATCCCCCACCTCTTCCTCCAGGGAGCTGGAACAGTTCATCCACTTTACTAACTCTTTCCACCCCAACCTTAAGTTCACCTGGAACATCTCTGATACCTCTCTCTCCTTCCTGAACCTTTCTGTTTCAGTCTCTGGCAACCACCTGGAAACTGATATCTATTTCAAGCCTACCGACTCCCACAGCTACCTCGAATACACCTCCTCTCACCCACCTTCCTACAAGAATGCCTTCCCCTATTCCCAATTCCTTCACCTCTGCTGCATCTGCTCCTGAGATGAGGCGTTCCACTTGCGGACATCCCAGATGTCCTTGTTTCTCAAGGCCTGCAATTTTCCCTCCACAGTTGTCGAAAACGCCCTCGACTGCGTCTCTCGCATTTCCTGCAACTCATCCCTCGCACCCCCTCCCCGCAATAGTAACAAAGACAAAATACCCTTCTTCCTCACATAACCCCACCAACCTCCGGATTCAACGCATCATCTCCGCCACTTCCGCCACCTGCAATCTGACCCCGCTACCAAGGACATTTTTCTCTCCTCACCCTTATCTGCCTTCCGGAGGGGCTGCTCTCTCTGTGACACTCTCGTCCGCTCCATACTCCCCACTAGCCCCACCACCCCTGGCACTTTTTTCCCTGCAACTGCAGAAAGTGCTACACCTCCCCCCTCACCCCCATCCCAGGCCCCAAGAAAACCTTCCACATTAAACAAGTATTCACTTGCACATCTGCTAATGTGGTATATTGTATCCGCTGTTCCTGATGTGGCCTCCTCTACATTGGGGAAACCAAGCGGAGGCTCAGAGACCGCTTTGTGGCACACCTGCGCTCGGTTCGTGACAAACGACTGCACCTCCCAGTCGTGAACCACTTCAACTCCCCCTCCCACTCCTTGGACGACATGTCCATCCTAGGCCTCCTCCAGTGCCACAATGATGCCACCCGAAGGCTGGAGGAACAGCACCTCATATTTCGCTTGGGAACCCTGCAGCCCAATGGTCTCAATGTGGACTTTACAAGCTTCAAAATCTCCCCACCCCCGACTTCATCCCAAGACCAGCCCAGCTCGTCCCCGCTTCCTTGACTTGTCAGTCTTCCCTCCCACCCACCCACCCCTCCCTCCCAACTGACCAACCCCCATCCCAACTCCCTACCTACACTCAACTTTACTGGCTCCTTCTGCG